TGATCCAGACTTTGCCGATCATCAAAGGTGTGCATTCATGACATGATGTGAGCTGGGTGATTTTCATTATGCTTGTCCATTCACTTTCTAACACTTCGTTCTAAGAAAAATAATTCTTCTGTTAGCTTGTTAATGTGCATTTTGAAATAAAATTTCCATAGTATGTTGAAATTTCAGCACTTTTTCTTTTTTCAATTTTAGCTGTGGTACGTGCTTTCAAAAACCTTGGCTGAAGATTCTGCCTGGAAATTTGCAAAAGAGAAGGGTATGGAACTGGTTACCATAAACCCAGCAATGGTGATTGGTCCTCTCTTACAGCCAACTCTTAATACCAGTGCTGCAGCAGTTTTAAGCTTAATTAAAGGTAATGTTTTTTGGATGTTGTAACCAAAGCTTTTACATTTAGTTCAAGAGGATTAATGTTTATGTCCTGCTCTCTCACCATTTATCGACTTCCTCTAAAGCTATAAATATACCTTACACATTATAAGGAGTGAGAAATGTTAAACTATTTGTTATTAGGATAGTTCATCTTATTATGATGTAAATGTCAATTAAAATTTTGCTTATGTTAGTAGATTCTAACTGGACTAGTCTATATTGGCATCTTATGCTCCTCTAAGCAAAATCCTCTTATTAGTAGATTTAAGAATGACCAAATCCTTCTCATCTTGAATCTCTAATGCACTAGTTAAAGCATCCCAAATATTTTGTTAAGAATTGTCTGAACCAAAAGAAACACAATAGAGGTGTTTGTTTTGACTTATTTTTATGTCAAACCGATATAAATAAGTTTCATGGGTTTTTTAGGGAACTGTTGCCTTATGCTTATAAACTAAAAAGTAAGTTCCCAAGAAGTACTTTCTTCTGTAAACTAAATGTAAAAGCTAATATTTCTATTATAATTTTTTTCTGAAATGCCCCTATTATAAATTATCAAATTTTTATTTGTGTTTTGTTTTTATTCATTTTCATAACCTTTTAGCTTATAAACATCTTTTACCAAAGAATCAGTGTTCATGTAGAGGTTATGATTAAAATAAAAATGCACTAAATTAAACATATTGTTTACTTTTTTTTCAAGAGCTTATTTGCTTCATTGCCCTATAAGCATGGCCTAATTATAAAATAAAAGTAAATTATTTAAACCAACAGCCCAATATATGTCAAGGTGATCGTGATTGAATATATTTCCAAACATATGATCTCTTGTTTGTTTGGAGAAAGGTCCTTAATTTTTTTTTAACAAAACAACTATTAATCTAGTTTTTTGTGTCTTTTTTTAGCGAATATATAATAATAGGATCTATTTTAATCTCTTCTAATGATGCAGGAGCACATACCTTCCCGAATGCAACTTTTGGATGGGTCAATGTTAAAGATGTTGCTAATGCACATATTCAAGCATTTGAAATTCCATCAGCCAGTGGAAGATATTGTTTGGTTGAGAGAGTTGCACATTATTCGGAAGTTGTGAAGATTTTACGCCAGTACTACCCTGCTTTCCAACTTCCAGAGAAGTAAGTATCCAATCTTCATTGCTTTTTGAGAAGCAAAAGTGTGGAGTAATATAAGAGTACTCGTCTCTGTTTCTTTTTGAGAAAAAAAAATGTGGACTCACTAATTATGAAATATAATACTTGCACCATGGGGCGCGAACCCACAGCTATAAGGTTAAGAGCCTTGCACTCTACTGACTGAACTAGACAGACTAGGTTGCAAGGTCAAGAGCCTTGCACTCTACTGACTGAACCAGGCAGGCTAGGTTGCAAATTCAGTTGTTTTCTGCAAACTAGGCTGTAGACAGATTAAGTTGCAAGTTCAAGAGCCTTGCACTCTACTGACTGAACTAGAGGAACTAGGTTGCAAATTCAGTTGTTTTCTGCAAATAAGGCTGTAGAATAACAAACACACGAGGCTGTAGAAAAACTGAAAGTTCTTCAATATTTTTATTGAGAAGCAAAAGAGAAAAAATAAATCCTATAGAATAGTACTCGTCCACCGTGGGGCTCGAACAACCGACCACAAGGTTAAGAGCATTGCGCTCTACCAACTGAGCTAGACGGGCTGAGTTGAAGCTTGTTTATTTGTGCCCAAAATGTGTAGGTAATACTGAAGTTTTCATTGTGAAGCAAAAGGGAAAATAATTAATTACCCTCGCCCACCGTGGGGCTCGAACCCACGATCACAAGGTTAAGAGCCTTGCGCTCTACCAACTGAGCTAGACGGGCTGAGTTGAAGAGTGTTTTTTAAGTTCCTAAGCATGCCTAGAAAAACTGAGTTTTGAGAACCAAAACTGCAAAAATGAAAATAATTACTTCTACCGACTGAGCTAGACGGGCTGAGTTGAAGCCTGTTTTTTAGTTCCTAAGGATCCCTGGAATAACTGAAAGTTTTGAGAACCAAAACTGCAACCGTGAAAATAATTAGTTGTATTCGCTCACTTTGGGCTCGAACCACACGACCGCAAGGTCTAGAGTCTTACAATCTACGAATGAGCTAGGGAAAGTTGTAAGAATTTAAGATTTCTTGTGGTTGTCTTTTACTTTCGACCTTACAAGGAACTGTTTTAGTTGTGGAAAGATATATGAGTTTCCATTGCGTAAATTTGTATAAATTTATATCATGTGTATGGTCATTTAAAAGATTAAGAAAAATTTTAGCGAATGATAGTCAGATACTATCTTTCTTTATTTTTGAACACTAAACTGTGTTTGCACTATAACGAAGTTAAAAAATTATTATATTTTCATGGCTTAATAAAACATTTTGGATTGTTACTTGTTTTTCGAGCATCAAATAAAAGAAAGTTGAAGAGTAGCGGCTTATATATTTTTGTGGAAAATATTGCAGGTGTGCAGATGACAAGCCATATGTGCCGACATATCAGGTGTCGAAAGAAAGAGCAAAAGAGCTGGGTATTGAGTTCATTCCATTGGAAGTGAGCATCAAGGAAACAGTTGAGACGTTGAAGGAAAAGGGATTTGTGCAGTTCTGAGTCTTTTCTTATATAGTTTGTTTGGAAATAAAATGACGGTGACCTCCTATCAAACCTTTTGTCTTATGCTGGTCGCTGCTTTTTTATCATATCCATGGAGTCCCTTGCTTCTTGTTTATACTTATCTATATACATCTCTTAGCTTCATTATGCGAACATGGAAGGATCTATATATATATATATATATATATATATATAGAGAGAGAGAGAGAGAGAGAGAGAGGGAGAAAGCAGTTTGTGCACTGCCCTTGAAATTAATATATGAATTCTATAATGATGGTCATATTAGTTTGGTGAAAAAATCTAATACATAAGCCATCAAAATAATAAAAACAAAAACCACAATTGAATTATGTTTTAAATATTTGAAACTAAGGAATTTTATAAGTTTTTAAAAAATAAAAGATGTATAAAAATTATTTTATAAGTTATTTGAAAGAGTAATTTATAATTTATACATCTCTTAAGTCAAAAAATAACGTAACAAAAAAAAAAAATTGATTGAAAATTGGAAAAGGCCCATTTAAATTGTAATAATGAAGCCCAGTAACTGAATCCATCTTCACCCATTTAATTTTCTTACACGTGCATACTCTTTCCCGCCAACAATTACACACATACGCACGCACACATGTATGTATCTTCTAATCCGTATAGAACTCCTCTTACCGATCCGATAACTATAAATATCTTGACTAATCACGTTTTATCTCATTAGAACTCTGCACTGCATTGACCTCAAATCCAAAGAAACTCCTCTGATTAGTCAATTCCGTTTTCTCACCATCAAATTGCGTCAATGGACACTGACCCAGAACTCGCCCCACTTTTCAACTCGCTACCTGACCCATCTTCTTCAACCCACCTGCAGCAGCTCACCACTGATCACGCAGCATCATCGAGTGGCAACAATGGCTATGATCAACGCTACGAATTTGGTTGTTTTCCGCCAGGAATCAGGTTCTGCCCAAACGATAGAGAGCTTATTAGGGATTACTTGAGGAATAAGGCGTTGAATCTGCCCATGCACAGAAGCTATATCATCGATGTTAACGTCTATGATTACAACCCTTTTGATCTTGCAGGTTAATTTTATTACCCTTTTTTTTTTAGTTTTTGATAAAGAATAAAAAAATCGTGACTAATATGTATGTGTATGTGTACGGGTGAACAGAGATTTGTAAAGACTGTGGGGAGAAAGAATGGTATTTTTTTACGCCAAGAGATAAGAAATATCCGAAAGGAAATCGACCAAGTCGAAAAGCTGGCAATGGATACTGGAAGGCAACTGGAGCTGATAAAGATATTACAGACAATGGTAAAACTATAGGGCATAAAAAGGCTCTGGTTTTTTATACGGGAAAACCTTTAGAGTCAGGCCGGAAAACTAACTGGATCATGCATGAATATCGACTCAGTAATCCTCCTGCTCCCGCTAACCAATCGCACGACAACATGAGGGTATTACATATATACCAAAATACATATATATTGTCTATTATCTCGACTTATTTCTTCTTTTTCTTAATTGGGTCAAACTTATTTCTTCTTTTTCTCTATTGGTCAAATCGTATTGGCTGACTTAAGGTATGTTTTTCCTTTTTTTGTTTTGTAGTTGGATGATTGGGTTTTGTGTAGAATTTATCAGAAGATTAGGAAAAACATGAGAGCCCGCAGCGAGGAGATAGAGCAGGAAGAGAATGAGACTGGAAATCCAAGAGAGAGACAGCAAGAAGCTGATCGTTATCGTCAACTCAATGAAGGTCAATTCTTGAATCCTGCCCCACGGAGTGATCATCAACTCATTGAAAGTCAAGCCTTGAATCCTGCCCCACAGGGTGATCATCAACTCAATGAAGGTCGATTCTTAAATCCCGCCCCACAGGGTGATCATCAACTCATTGAAAGTCAAGCCCTGAATCCTGCCCCACAGGGTGATCATCAACTCATTGAAGGTCAATTCTTGAATTCTGCCCCCCTGGGTGATCATCAGTTCAATGAAGATCAATTCTTGAATCCTGCCTCACAGGGTGATCATCAACTCAATGAAGATCAATTCTTGAATTCAGCCGCACTGGGTGATCATCAACTCAATGAAGGTCAATTCTTGAATCCTGCCTCACAGGATGATCATCAACTCAATGAAGATCAATTCTTGAATTCTGCCGCACTGGGTGATCATCAACTCCACGAAGGTCAATTCTTGAATCCTGCCTCACAGGGTGATCATCAACTCAATGAAGATCAATTCCTGAATCCTGCCACACTGGGTGATCGTCAACTCATTGAAGGTCAATTCTCGAATCCTGCCCCGCTGGATGACCAGTTGACGACCTTGAATAGTCATGACCAAGTTCTTGCTCCTCCTCCTCCGTATCATAATTATCAAGTAATGAACAATAATTTTAATGGTGATCAGCATCTACTGCAGCAACCTCAGGTGTTGCCTTCCGCTTCTGGTCCACTTGTAGAAATGTTTGATCCAGCGTCGCCACTTCCAATCTCCATGATGCCACCAGCTCAAGTCCCTGCACCACCAATGGAGGAGGTTCCATATGTGCCTGCACAAGAGATGGAGAATGAAGACAATATTTTTACTAGTCAATTTTATTTAGAAAACTCTAATCTATTTTCCTGTCTGGACTTAGAGAACCATGATCTGATCTTCGGTGGTGGCAGCTCCGGTAATTAACTTTCAGATTTTAGTTACCTGCAAACTTCCCCCGAGAATATAAACATCTCCGGCCGCCTGCATTTCATCTCGACTTACCAGATAGTTGTAATGAACATGAGATTAATTTTTGATAGGACTAGGGACGATGGAGAAGAAGAACTTTTCTTTTTTCTTTTTTATTTTTTTGTTTATGTTGCAAATTAAATTGGGTTTCAACCCAGAATATTGAGAAGGTCTTATTATCAGAGTTTCACTTCTTTTTTCTTTTAGCTTCTTGTTTTGTTTCCATGGAACTAATGCAAGATTTTATACAACTAAAAGTTAATCAATTTTTATAACGAACTTCAGATAAACCCAACAAATGACTACCTCAAAATTCTCTTCCTTCCTGGATCAATCTCAGATAACAATCTCCATTTTAGATTTTCTTTTTCCCTCTTACCAAACAACACAAAGAACTAAAAGCATCATTGCAAGTAATAACATGAAAGGAATTTTTATTGAACCAAGCCTACAATCTTCCAACCACTGGCCAATCTAACAGCATTCTCACTAGTTTTTCCACGTCCTCCGGCCAATTTCTCTAAGAAATCCGACATTAATGACCACCAGCATAAGGGACAAATGTCGGGAAAACTTGTCCACCTCTCAACACTTCTTGTCGATAATGCAGAGGGAAGAGCGCATTGCTGTTCTGCATTATTGTCGTTGAAACATTCTCAATGTCTTTGAGTGGTGACCGTTTGGAAGGAGCTACGAGCCCACTGGTGCATGCCTGAGCTTTTCTTCCTCCAATTTCATCAATGGACTCTTTCTTCTTGTAGCCATTATTTTTAGCACAATGGTTTTCCTTCAACCGACAAATCAATACCCGTTTCTCCTTCTCGCTCTGAGTTTCTCCAGACATCAAAGATGAGCTCTTGGCACTTCCCATTGAGTTTGGATCCTTCCTCAACCTTTCGTACTCTCCATGAAGCACAGATAGTTCTGCTTGGAGTTCGTTTGTCTTGATCTCGGAAGAAAGGGCTTTCTGTCTCCATTCTTGCACCTAATGCAAAGATAATACACATTATAATCTTCTTAAACTGAAAAACAAAAAGAAAAAGTCAGGAATCCAAAATAATCCCACAAGTTTAAAGACAAGAAAGTTTGAATCTTGCTTTTTGATCTGACATTTTTACTATGTTTTTCTTGTTGTTTGTGAGCCAATAAACAAAAAACTGGCGACTTTGATACTTCACATCACACCGGGACCGGAAGGAAAAGTCTCCGGTGGGACCATTACAGCTGTTAGAATATTTTTGCAGCCCTAGCATCTTATGAATTTTTCTCATTTAAATTTAGTGTTCAGCTTATTTTTTGCAAATTTGCGTGCATAACCCTTTCAAGCTTAATGTTCTATGAAGTCGAATCAGACTAAATAGTTCCATGAACACTGAATAGAGGCAAATAAAAAGCAACCCAAATAGCTGGTGCACACCAAATTGGCCTAGAAATCAGAAAGAAGGGGATATGAAGCTGGATATTGAAATCTTACAGCAGAACGAAGCGATTTTATCTGACAATCTGAATCAAGTGCTCGATCTTCCCAAAAATCTCGCGAAGCCTGTAATTCCTCCATCTCATCCCTCACCTGTCCTAGCATCTCTTGCATTTGAGACCACTGCTCTGTCTCAGCCCTAACTTGTTCTACAATCCTCCTCACTATCGCCTTGCAGCGCCCTGAACAGGCTTTCTCCTCGTGGATCATCGTTTCCTGCAACATAATTTTCACTCAGATTCTTCTTGTCAATTGTTATATCTCTTTAATGAGGAACTGCCTATCACCTAGTTTACGAACTAACCTTATTTGGTTGTCGAATAGGCATATCTGGAAGCTCGGATTGCTTTGAGCTAGATACAGCAGAATTGTTGGCTGTAGAAAGCATTGAACTATACTCCTCCATTATTTCTAACAGGATCCCCTTCGATAATCCCTCGATTTTTCTCCTCAGAATCTCCATCTGCATATTTTTTTTATTAGAATCAACTCTCCATTTCTCAAACTAACTACTAAAGACAATAAACCAAGCAACAAACAACTTATTGAATTAGAGAAAATTCAATCTTACATTGCTGCCAGAGTTGAAATCGAAGCTCTCATCAAATTGATAGCTTGTTTTTATTGACAAACTTGCTTCAGCCATTTCTCGAATCTCTTTTGTGCATGCCTCGTCAGATTTTCCCCCAAATTTCTCTAACCTTCTTTGAAGAAAAGAAGCTTGTCTGTCAAGATTGCTAAATTTTCTAACTTGCAAGTTCTTATCTGCAGCCCTTCTTTGCAACTTCTCTAGTTTCTGCAGTAAATAATTTATTTCTTCCTCCCAAATCATACTCACATTCTTCCCTTCAGAAATTTTCTTTCTACCCTAAAAATCAGTCACCAAACAAGGAAAAAACAAATAGTCAAGAAACACAATTGGCCAAAAAAAATCTGAAAAATGATGTATGGAAATTCAAGTCAACACAAATAGCCAAAAACCCTTTTGTCCTATGTCAAAGAAGGATAATTATCAGGTATAAACAAATCTGAAATAGGGATTCAAATGAAAAGAAACTGAACAGAAAAAGAAAAGGATTTCCATGTCTGACATTCTCTAAGATTAATTAAGCAAAAGGGTTGATATTTGTATTATCAGTTAATTCTTATTCTGCATTTTGCCTATTTTCTCAGGAAACAAATGGAAAAGTAGAGAAAGAAAAGGAGCTAACAGTTAGCAAACTGTGAATAGCAGATCGCAATATCCTCTCCACCCGAACTCTCCTCCTTTCCATCTTTTTCACAGCAATCTCCTTCTCCATCCTCAACATATTACACTCTGCTCTCAACATCTCTGCCTGAAACCTCCATTTCTCCTCCTCCACAACAGCCGTCACCCCACACTCCCTCACCTCCTCCTCCTCCGCCGCCGCCACTCTGTCTCTCCTCCTCTCCTCCCGCGAGCTCAAAACCACGACCGGCATAGAAGGAGCTCCTCTGTCAAACGTTCTCTCCTGATCAAAAAGAGCCTCCAGCCTCCCTATTCGGTCTCTCCGCGACGTGGGTTTCGCGGGACTCGGCGCCTTGGTTTGCTTTCTCCGAGGCCTGCGCGGTAAATGGAGGATTCTCGGAGTTGGCGCTGCTTGTGGGTATTGCCATTTCGGCCTCCTCGTCGCTGTCGATGTCGTCGTCGTGTATATTCTCTCCATGCAACAAGAAAGTTTGCGTCTTTTCTATCTCTGTCTAAAGTTTGCTGGAACAGGGGATTGGGTTCTGGGTTTCTAGCTGCTAAAGAAGATAAAGCTTGATAAGAGAAGAATGACAGAACGACAATGGCCGATTTTTGAAGAGTGTCGTAGAAGGTGAGTTCTGGGTTTTAGTGATAGGAAAAGTGAAGGTTGGAGCTTCTTCTTCTTCTTCTTCTTCTTATAATCATATAGACTCTCATACGAGAGTGTGAAGTTAAACAGAAAGTGTACTGGGTGTCTGAGTGTCTCTACATGATTTTTGAAAAACATGGGGGTATGGAAAAAGAAAATTAATTTCTTTTTTCAAAAAAATTGAACTGAAAAATAGAGAAAAGTGTCCTCTTTTATTTATGAAAATATGTTCAAAAATATTTAAGAACAAAAAAAGAAAATAAAACTTAAAAAAATTGGCTATTTATTGAAGAAGCAGAGACTAAGATTCAGAGTTCAGAAACTTCTTGTTTTGTTTATGTTTAAAACCAGAGTTGAATGGTTTTTTATTTGAATTTTTATATTTTTTTGGGTTGGTATGCATATATAATTATATATATATATATATATAGAGAGAGAGAGAGAGAGAAGAAGGCGTGCAACCTCGTTAAAAGGAAGGAACAGAGATATTTGAAATGAAAGGTGTCTGTGTGTGTTTCTTTCTCTCCTCTGGTTTTCCTTGGACATTGTTCTTATATGGAAATCTGAGAAGTATATATATATATATATATATATATACAGTAATTGCATGCTTTTTTTCTCCTTTTTCTTTTTCTTTTACAAATAATTAACTCTATTACCAATATCCATAACTTGTCTTTCTAACCCCAAAATATAAATAAATAAATTAGTAATTTACAATATAATAATTTAATATTAAAGAGTTTTGTATTTTGTTTATTAAATTTTACTAAAAATATAAAATTTATTAATTTATAAAATATTATGAATTAACAGTAATTATGTAATAACTGACGTATTTAATTTATAATTTTATTTTCTTTTAAGTTTCGAACTTTTACGGTTAGTATTATAACTACATTTTTCGAAATAATTCCTTACACAAAAACTTAAAAACACTAAATGAAATATGCTCCAACCATTCCGTATGAAAAATAAGTATAAAGACACAAGGATATGAGGTTCTTTACTGAATATGCAGCCCAAGACGAGTCGCTTTGATAGGATGTTGATCGACTTTTCGAGATTTTAGAAAAACTCATCTCTGTCTAGTAGGCCTGGGAAGAGAGGATGAAACTATCTGACCCTCTACTATTTCCACAATATGAGACACCCCTATAACGAGAGAATCTAACGCCACCTCGATGCAACCCTGTTTCTCTATCGTATCATCCAACACTGTCACAATACAATTTGAAGCCCCTACTGTATCATTCGACACTGTTACAAGGCTACCCCATCCTTCCCCAGCAACATCTGGCCCTTCTTCCATGGGACTCAGTTTCACCCATAATGGATCTGATAGAGATTGACACGAGGGATCCTAATGTATTTTCAAGAATGAACTGGTTAGCGGCGTATAACACCACTGTGGATTATTTTCACGAGAAAAATTGTATTTAAGCATCATAACGAAAAGTTATTTACAAGCTAAAAGTTTTGAATATTATTTCCTCATAACAATTTTCTTATTACATAACACTTTAACTCGATTGTTTTTTCTACACTATGCAAACTTAGGAAAGAAATTTATATTAAAGAGATTCCAATAGTCCAAGACTTTTCGAATGTATTAATTGATGAACTTTCTAGACTAGCAGTAGACAAGGAAGTTGAGTTCACCATAAACCTTCAGCTTGGCACGCAGCCCATCTTAGTTTTTCCTTACTACATGAGTCATGTTAAGATGAAAGAGTTGATGAAATAGATCAAGAAATTATAAGATAGTGGGTTCATCCGACACAGTATTTCTCCTTGGGGTGCTGGAGTCACATTTGTAAGAAAATAAGAATAGATGTTAAGATTATGTATTGACTACAGGGGACTAAACATGGTCATGATCAAGAACAAATACCCCATCACCAGGATTGATGACCCTTTTAATCAGTTGCAGGGTGTCCAAGTCTTCTCTAAAATATACATGCGTTCAGTTACCATCAAGTAAAGATCAAGATAGAAGACATTCTCAAAATAGCTTTCCGAACCAGGTATGGATACTATGAATTCCTGATCATGTCATTTGAATTAATTAATGCACCAGCCATCTTTATGGATTTGATGAATAAGATTTTCAGATAATTCATAAATCAGTTTGTCATTGTATTTATCGATAATATCCTGATCTATTTAAAAAGTAGAGAAGAACACACTTACCATCTAACTCAGGTTTTGCAGGTTCTGAAAGAAAATAAGTTGTATACAAAGTTGAGTAAATGTGGGTACTGCCTCGAGCATACCACCTTCTCAGGGCACATCATAGCAAAGGATGGAGTGTCACTGAATCCCAAAAAAGTTGAAGCAGTACTTGGTTGGGAAAAATTAACATCGGTCAAGGAGATTTATAGCTTTCTGGGGATGACAAATTATTACCGTAGGTTTGTGGAATGATTTTCTACCCTAGCTGCTCATCTGACTTGGCTCACAAAGAAGAACGTCAAGTTTGAGTAGAACGAGAAATGTGAAAGTAACTTTTCAGAACTAAAGAAGTGGTTGACTACTGTACTGTTGTTGACCTTACCGAGATGAGTATAAATATTTTACATCACACTGAACCCAAACCCTAACCGCCAGCCTCCCGCCGGAGAAGAAAAATCAGTCGCCAAGGAATAGAGCCGACTGCCGACCGCCGTTGCACCGGAGCCACCTCTGACCGTCAAAAAAGTAAAAATTCTCATATCCGCTCGGAATTTGATTTTGAGCACTTCCATAATCAAATTGAAGCAAAAGTGACTGCGCTTGAGCAAAAAATCATAGACGAAGCTCGGCGCCGCTGCCACCTGTAAAATCCGCAACCTCTTCTGATGAGTCCCTTCCTGTTTTTCATTTCGTGCAATTTTTTCACTGTTGTGTTCACCGTTCTGTTTTTTACATGTTAACCTAAGAAAAACTTCCAGTTGCAAAGGTGAGCTAGCAGAGCCGCTGCACCTAAAAAATTTCACCGCCGATAGGTTTTTGTTTTCTGATTTTTTTCGGCTAATCGAGGTCCCTTAACATATTTTTTTACAGGGATATGTATAAAGTCGACCGGAATCGGCCAAAATCGACTGAAAACGGCCAGACTGAGGCAGGTCGCCGCTGTAATCGGTGGTGCCATCGCCGGTGCTGGAACCCCGAAATTGACCAAAAAAGATTTTTTACACCGATTTTGGATTAGTAGAGTATTTTTAGGTACGTAACAAGTGTTTTGGATTCCATGAAAATAATTTAAGAAATTCGGAGAGTGCCAGTAGGCGCAGTAGAAAGTTTAGTATTTTGGACACCGATTCGGATAAGGATCCCTCATCTTTTCCTTCGTTACGGTAAATTGAAGCTTAATAATTAATAATTGTGTGTTTTTATGAAAAAATAGAGAATTCTGAAAATAATTACAAGTCACTAGTGGAGGCGAAACCGGTTAGTGCACAGTCATTTCGATTTCTTATTTATTTCCTTATATTATATAAATTTGTTTACTATTATACTGTATGTAACTCATTTGATGGTTTTTGGGGTCTTTTTAGTTATTTCGTTATTTGTTTCCCTGCATTGCATGTCGGCATCCCGGTCATTGATTATTTAGCAGTGTAAAACTATATTATTGTTTAAGTGAACGGTAAGTATAAAATGAAATATGGTTATTGTATGGTTGATTATTATACTGATGATAATCTGTATAATAAATATTTATTGGGTACCCGGAAAAAGGCAGACTGGTCCAATACATAATGAATACTATCGTGAACGTTACCTCAGTCAGACGAGGTTAAGAAGTCCCTTGCCATAAAAGTTTGGGAGATATGGTTCACCCTTATATCGGATGGGATATTGAGGTGGTTACATATTTGGCAACCATACCGAGCGGAGTATGGGACGGCTTGTTAACTGTTTAATTGGATATTGTATTTACAAGTAGGATGACATCCCTATAGACCCCTAACGGTATCGGTAAGCGGGTAAAAATGTAAAATGATCGTTTTTTTGTTATCTTCTATGTGATAAATAATAGTGCTTGAATATGAGTTTTCATAAGTTATTGTTGGGAGAGACTTATAACATAAATATGAAATAAATGGCTTTCTTTATAATAAATGAATTTACAATAAATTAAGGGCTCAATTAGTTATTTTTCTGATTTCTACCAATTTTTAGTTTTCGTATATGTGATTAGTGTGATATTCTTACTGGGTTAGTATAACTCATCCCTTCATTAACTATTTCAGATCAAGATGACCAAAATCCAGATTCTGATCAACAAGATGGTGCCAATAGTTCACTACTCGGACTCCTTTCAAAAGATAGTGAATGTCGTCATAGGATGCTTCGTGATTTGTTTTTCGTTTATTTCATTAATTTTCGTTTGTTTTTTTAGAATGAATATTCTCGTAATTCTATTGGGTATTATAATTTATTGTGTAAGGAATGTAAACCATAACTCTATTATTTCGCTTTCGCGTTTAATTTATGATTTTATTTTCAATTAAGTTCCGGCCTTTTATAAATTTTAATAAATTTATTATATTTTTAATTTAAAAATAAATATTTGTAATTATTATATTTTTTAATTAAAATAATTATAATACGTTAAAATTTTAATTTTAAATTTTTTTATTATCGTAAAAATAAATAAATCAGAATGAGAATGATTCAGCACCAAAAAAATTAATTATAACTAAAAAAACGTTATGTCGATAACTATGATTATTTCAAATATAAATTTTAATTATTATAAAATATTTGACTCTTAATAAAATCTAACTTAATTAAATTAGTTATGCGTTAGTTAGTTGATAATATAATTATAAAATAATAAATTTTATATTTAAATAATATAATTATAAAAAGTGGTTCATGTCAAACCCATGATTAGATGAAATGAAATGATTAAAAAATATTTCTTGATATGCATGTGATTATAAGTTTTAAGTAATTAATTTGAAGTGGTAGACTAAGAAAGTCATTCTTTATGCTATGCGTGTGTATATATATGTGTGTGTATATATATGTGTGTGTATATATGTGTGTGTATATATATGTGTGTATATATGTATGTATGTATGTGTAAAGAGAGAGAGAGAGAGAGTCACACAAAACAAGAAGAGGAAGTGAGTGAGTCAGAAAATATTGTGTGTATTATTTATTAGTTTTAACAAATGAAGAAGAGAGT